GAATTGTAATTGATATATAAGTACATTATTACATTACATTTGCTATTATCAATTACATTTGTTGCGACTTTTTCGTGATGGCTGCAGCCGTTCTTAGACCTTCAATGTTCACTGTCAGAGTGACTGCACAATCCTCCTGCTCTCCTCCCAGTTTGCTGCTCTGAAGTGTAGTGTATGTGCACATATTTACCAGGATCATTAACTTGCAGTCAAGTTAAGTGAGGAGCTGTTCTGGCAAGCTTGAATGGGTTGGGATGTTGCAACCTGACCTACTAGAGGCTAGAAACAAGCCATACTCTTATACAATCTACAATTAACGTTTTCTGCCCTACTTGGCTAATTGCATGCTGTGAATGGCAGTTGTATCCATAGCAGGGATTGCACAAGAAATGTATCAATACACATTTACTAAAGCAATGTATTATGAGATGATTAGTTCATCAACAGACGAACCACAAGACGATGACTTCATAATGTCTCAGTTAGAATACATACAATATAAGGACAAGAGACACTGAGCAGTCAATTGTCACCTCACCCCTTGTCTATCTGTGCCCCCCTTAAGTTTTCCCTTTCAACAGGTTATGAGCCTTGAGCTCCCTGCATACATGCATCCACTGTACACTCTAAACTCTTTACTTGCATACATTTGCACACATTTGCATCATGGTTCCCCCACATACAGATATGCACTGTAAACCAGCCAATGTACCTAAATACTTCAGTCAAAACATCACAATGCTTAAGACTGAAGCAAACTACAAGATGTGGCACTACTGCATTGTTTCTAGTGTCACAGCTATGTGCTTCGAACACTTACTAAAGGATGAACCACAGAATGAAGCTGAGAGGGAGATGGCTAAGGCCATTCATGCATGCATAGTTAATAACATTGCTGACACAATATTGGCAAACTATATACACTTTGATACGTCTATCCCTCAGTTAATGAAAGTGCTTGAAGAATGCTTTAACCCCCAGACAGTATGTAAAAAGGCTATTGATGAATCAGTACTGTTTATTTGTAGAGACCATGTAAAACATTTCAGACATACATTAGACAGACTTGAGGAAGCATACACAACTCTGTCTGCTAACAGTGATCCACCATACAACTCTACATACAAAGCAGTGATATTGCTTGCTACTCCTGAGCAATATACACACATAGTAAATACAATAATACAATCTACTAATGCCCAAAACAAAGGCAAACCAGTCAATGAACATAAGAAAGTTGAACTGAAGCAACTAATCCTTACATTGTGGAATGCCTACAATGATTACTGTGCTAAACAAGCACAAGATTCTAATGATCAGACAAAGAATAATGCACACATTAATACAATGTATAAAGCCAATAAGCAGAGGAAATTCAATCTGCCAAATCTGTTCAATCTGACAAAAGCAAAATGTTTCAATTGTGGAAAAACAGGACATTTCTCTAAGGAATGCTGCAAACCTCCTACTGAAGCTACAAAGCTTGCACACACCAAACATCAAGCTAACATTGTGCATAAAACGAATCAAACTGTGGAAAACACAATGAACACATTTATTATTGAAAACCCAAACGAAAATAACATTGAATTAAAGGAAGGCAATGTTGAAATGAACAATAATGCCTATGCTCTTATTCTGAGCAACCAGGACAAACAATTTGAACAATATGTTTCCTGGGTATGTACTAACATATTTACAAATACAATCATGGCTAACAAGAAATCCTATACACAAATGATGGATTTACTCAATTCTGGTGCATCAATACATGCTACTCCTTATCTATTTCAATTAACAGATGTACACAACATAACTCCTACAATTGTAACTATTGCAAATAGATCAACAATGACTCTTAATTGAGCTGGATCTATGTGTATCAAAATCCCAAAGAATATACAAGAAAAAAGTGTCATAACATTACAAAACGTCTATTACTATCCACAAATGACCTTTTCCCTCATAAGTCAAGCACTACTATGTAGGGAAGGTTATTCTTTTATGTTTACAAACAATAATTGTACTATAACATCACTATGTAACAAATACATCAGACATATACAATTGAGAAATAACTTGTATATTTTGTACAATAATCATTTATTAAAAACAATGAACAAACTATCTATTTATGATATACATAAATGCCTCAGACATATAAGTTACAATTATATTAAACCATTATTAAAGACACAACCAAGTGTACTATTAACTAAAATAATGAACTACAAAGAAAAAGAATGTATTGAATGTATAAAAGCAAATATTGAACATACACTAATACCAAAACTATGTTAATCTCCTCTTGCAAATCAATTTGGAGATCTTATTCATATCAATATCATTGGTCCTATCAAACTACACACATATAAGAACATATGCTACTTATTAACAATTGTAGACAATTCTACTTGTTGGTGCATAATGCTCAAATTACAAACAAAATCTAATGCATATATGTAATACATACAATGGACAACTAAAATATTTACACAGCACAGAGTTAAAATAAAGCTTTTACAAAGTGATAACAATACTGTATTCCTTAGTGAAGATTTCCAACAATATTTAGATTCATAAGGAACAAAATGAAGATTAACAGTACATCATACTCTGCAACAGAACAGAATAGCAGAACAAACTCATAAAACTATATTTAGAGGTGTAAGAGTAT